GACAGGTACGGGCGCTCGGCGGGACAGGCATGCCGGGGGCCCGCACGACGGCCCGCTGTGCCCGGGGCCCTGGCAGGGAAGCAGCTGCCCCCCTCGGTCCTGCCGCTGCCTTTGAGGGAGTCCTGGACGGGCCGGAGCGGGCGGAGCTAAGCGTCGCCCTCGCGTCGCCCTCGCATCGCCCTCGTGTCTCCCGCAGGCCTGTCCGGCGCGGGCAAGACGACCATTGGCTTTGCCCTGGAGGAGTACCTGGTCTCGCACGGCATCCCCTGCTATTCCCTGGATGGCGACAACGTTCGCCACGGCCTCAACAAGAACCTGGGCTTCTCGGCCGGGGACCGCGAGGAGAACATCCGCCGCATCGCCGAGGTGGCGCGGCTCTTCGCCGACGCCGGCCTCGTCTGCATCACCAGCTTCATCTCTCCCTTCGCCAAGGTGAGCTCGCAGCCCCTCTTCTGCCCCTTTCTGGGCGGTTCCGTCGCGCGGCTCTTCCTAAGAACGAGGTGTTTATGCCAAGGAATTCACCTCCTGGAGCCTCTCTTTAGCTTTTCTTTCCTCTTCTGTAACACGCCGCAGCTGTACGGAACTAAACACCATTTCTGGAGCATAACTGAGCCTGAACTTGTTACTTTCGCATACATTGACAATGCAGAAATTGTTTAAAAACTAAATAACATTTCAGGTCTCCTCCTACCTTTAACTTTCTAGGAGGCAGAGAAGAGGCATAAGAACAATATCCTCTGGTAGTGCTCTAAAATGCTCCATTTGAAGAAACTGTTGAATTCGAGTGGCGTCATGCAGTAGGAAGACACTAGCTGCATGTCAGAGCCTTCGAGGCAGCCCTGTGAGCCACAACATCCCCTACCATTTCCCTTCTTTCTTCCAACAGGATCGTCAAAACGCACGGAAAATCCACGAAGCGGCTGGGCTGCCTTTCTTTGAGATCTTTGTGGATGCTCCCCTCAACATTTGCGAAAGCAGAGATGTGAAGGGCCTGTACAAAAAGGCGAGAGCTGGCGAGATCAAAGGTATGGGACAGCAGGCTCTTTATTTTGCCTTTCGCTTTTGGGAGCATGCGATAGCTTATCCGTGCAGCCCTGCAAGCAGGGAAGTGCTGGGGTGGTTTAAGAAAGGCTGTTTGTGCTGCACAGAAATATCCGGTTTCCCTAATCTGTGTCACAAGTGCCACTTACAGTCCTCCATGTGGCCGGAGGCTTTCTGGGTGTCTGTGCAGCGCTGTTGACTCTGGGACACTGAGTATTGCACTAGATAAACCTAGTTTGTATTTGTCTATCCACAGGATTCACGGGGATTGACTCGGAATATGAGAAGCCTGAATCTCCTGAGCTAGTGTTGAAAACGAACGTGTCTTCAGTGTCTGAGTGTATTCAGCAGCTTGTGGAGCTCCTACAGACACAAGTCGGTTGACTTTCTGCCACCGCTGCTGCCACCTCATTTCACATCCTCGTTTTGGGGGGCGTTTCTTACAATTGCTGTCTGTCTGTCTCCCTCAGAACATAGTCCCACAGGCGTCGCTTAAGGATGTTCTCGAGCTGTTTGTGCCTGAAAATAAACTTGATTTTGTCCGAGCTGAAGCAGACATGCTGCCCTCCGTGGAGATCACCAAGGTATCGCTGCTTGCCCATACAGCGCCGTGACTCGAGGAGCGTTTTGCTCTTCGGTGGGCAGAGAAGCACACCAGAAAACAGCCAAGCGAGGCCGCCGCTGTAACGGGCGGGAAGGAAACCCGAGCTCCAGGTAATCTGGCCTCTCTGGGTTTGTTTTGCAGCTGGATCTGCAGTGGGTGCAAGTGCTGAGCGAAGGCTGGGCCACTCCGCTGACGGGCTTCATGCGCGAGGCCGAGTACTTGCAAGTGATCCACTTTGGCACCTTGCTCAACGGTACGATCGCGCTCCCTCGGTGCTGGCGCTGCCGGGCGCCCGCGTGCGCGCGGCGGCACCACGGTTCAAATTGCTGCCCTCTAGCAGTCCCTTGTAGGGAGCAGTCGAGCTGGTGTTTCTCCTCCTCCTTGAGTGTTAGCCACGAGGCCTCAAAAAGGAGCGAGGGTGCCAGGAGGCTGAGCTCTGCAGCGCTCAGAAGAGCAGGGCAGGTGGCCAGGCTGGCGGCGCTCCCCCTTGCGGGTGCAGACGCAAAACCCTGGCCAGAGAAGCAGGGAGATGCCAGACTGAGTTCCCGATGGAAGGAGAGGGGAGTTACACCTTGGAAACAGGAGCAGAGTCTGGTTTAACATCTTTTTCCCTCTCCCCTTCTCCGTTCTTGCTTGCTTACTGCTGTCACAAGGATGACATTTCCCTGTCATCAGCCCCAGATCTGCTGCCTTTGAGCTGTCTCTTGTGCCTGATAAGGTCTGTGAGGGGCTCGTCAGGACACCAGCTTTCATAATCCAGAATCCCGGAACGGTTGAGGTTGGCAGGCACCTCTAGAGATCATCCAGTCCAACGCCCTGCTCCAGCAGGGACACACACCCTCCAGAACAAGCCAAGCCCTTGGGCTCGCCCCTCGCCCGCGTGCAGCTCTACCTCCACCCGCTGTCCTCTGCTTGTGGGGTTCCCTGCGGTCAGGGACAAAGCCTGGCAGCAGCTTTTGGTGCAATAACCCTCCGTAAGAGGATGTTTGCAGGAGAGGGCCCTGGCGTCCATCCCAGTACACAGTGTCTCCACGCACACGCTCAGGCTCTGCCCTGCCAGGTCCAAGGGGTGATGCAGGAGGAGCAGGATGCACCCGGACGCATTTTTGGTGGATCTATCAGCCCCTGGCTGGGGCAATACAAGTTAGGATTCCTGTTACCTTGTGGCAAACAAATATTTTCCGTGCCACCGGCAGTAAGTCACACAGTGGTGCTGCTGTTGGTTGGCCACGTACAAGAATATAAAATAAAAAAATATACCCTTATGGACACGTCCCTGTCCAGAGTGAGGTGCTCCAGCACGAGGGAAGGAAGGTCTGTGCTGGTGTGATGTTTGCACTGTGTACGGCGCTTTGCCTGCCGCCTGTGCTGCTGGCACCGCAACCGCAATTCCCGCATCCCGAGGAGGTGGGATGCCACGGAGGGCCACAAGGAGACGCGCCACCTCCGCACGCTCCTCCCCAGCCCGGCTAGACCTGCAGCTCTGATTCTTGCAACTGTTGCTGTGAATGTTGCCTGCAAGAATTAATGGTCTTAACTGTGTTTGTATTCTCCCAGGAAAGAGTTCCTCCCTAGTTGGTAAGTATACAGCCATTCCCAAGCTTATGGGGAAAATGACTCCAATTAGATATTTTCCTAAACAGTAATTTTTTTTTGCCATTATTTTGAATAATGACACTTCCAGCAATACACGCAAGTGCTGCCTCTCCGTGACTCAATGAGTTTCACCCCATGTCCTGGTGATAATCCCGGCAGAGTAACTTGCAACCCTTCCCCGTCGCGGAAGCGGTGGCTGCTCTGCGTGTGGCATTTGGGAATGGGATTCGGAGATGCTCCACTCCGGCAGCACTTGTTGCCTACATGATCTGCGTTCTTCCTTGCTGACCTTACGGAGTGATTAATGATTGATGCTGCTTAAATACGAGGTGGATGATGATTGCATTCTGACCTGTGGGATTTGATTCCGCATACGTTTGTACAATGAATGCACTCTGGGGTGGAGGAGAATTAAGGAATATTTTTATATTCCTCACGGGTACCTCGTCATTCATGAAGGGGCTTGAAAGTGGCTCTCCGGCGGATGAGCGGTACCTGGTCGTGCAGTGGAATTAATAAAGCTTAATAAAAGCTTAATAAAAATGGCAAAAGCTACCTCACCATGAAATCATCAC